TTGAATTTAAAAGCATAAGGGGATAATAAATAAATACTTTAATATCGAAAATAAGGGAAATAATCCATAAAGTCAGTTGTGCTTAAATTCTTGCTAACATAAATGTAAAGCATTTGTAGATGCATTTTACTTTTCAATTTGATATATAAATAAATCTAACTAATAGAACATTTCCCCAATTTATAATCAATCTCTAAGGAACATTAAACAGATATCATCTAGATTACACAACTAAATGCTCATTCTCTTCGACAAAAAAAACATAGTTAATTAAAACTAGACAAGTGCTTGGGAAATGTGGCAGACCGCGTTGAAAATTCGCATAAAGGTGCCGCATCGTTGTCGACGTCGTGCAATTTCACTAATTAAAAATGCATGATTCAAAAATAAGAACAACAACTGCAAATATCTATGTCTACCGACGGATTGCTTTGGCAATTCTAGACGCGAGAGAGCAACCCACATTTACGTTTCTTTTTTCTATGCAATTTGCGGATGGCTGCCAAGAAATAAAACAAAACAAAAAAAAATAAATTAAAAAAAAGTGAATAGAAAAACACAAAAGCCCAAAACCCAGGGCGCAGTAAAAACAAAAGAAAAAGGTGTTCAGTTTTTGTATCTTTTCATTTTCCACACTCTGTCGCTCGATTGCATGGCAAATGTTGTTGCTTATTTTCCTCGCGTTTTCCCGTTTTTCATAAATTAATTAACTGCATCACGACTTTGGAAGCGACTGCAAAATGCAAAATAAAAACTGCAAACTGCAACTGTGACTCTGACTCTGACTCAGAGACCGACTGTGACTTTCCGCATGAAACTAATAATAAGCCAAAGTTAATTAGAGACGCAGGAAAAATATCAAAAATACTCGAATAACAATGGTGCTAATGGCCTTGCTCTACTCTCAGACAAAAAAGGGCGCCACACGAATTGCTTTCTGGATTGCTTTAATTGCTTCTTTGTCTATAAGGTCTGATATATGTATCTACCTCCACTAATAAGCATTTATTCCATTTGCTCATTAATAAATAATTGCATTTATGGGTGGTTTATACGAGATTTATGCGATGAGATGGATAAATTATGAATCTTTAAATTGAGTTAATGATATCGAGCAAAATAAAGAGAAAGAACAAGTTTTAAAAACATTTTTTTTAATGGCTTTACTGTGGTTTTATGTATTTAAGTCTTTAAACAAATTAATATATATACTAAGCTAATTTCACAGCCAATTTAAGACCCTTAATATATTTTCTTAATTTTTGCCCTTCCAAGGGTTTTAATCAGAAGCTTCAATAGCAGTGAAGGACCCTATAAATTATATATATTCTTGATCAGAATCAACAGCCGAGTCGATTCCGGCATATCCGGGAGAAAAATACATTTTCGAAATTGTTTCAAAATTTTTAAAAAAATAAAGATAAGGGGCAACAGCGATTTTAATTTCTATTAAAAACTAGCATTGGAATGCTTTCCGAACTAAAATTAATGCATTTTTGGCTTAGTTATAAGTTTTTTAAACTTTAATAAATCACACAAATTTGTCATATACAAATATCGATAAATATCGATTCAAAGGAATCTAATATTTTAAGCTTAGTTATGATATATTTCCTATTTGATCATTTAATTCAATTGCAAACGGCAAGGGAATAACACATAAACATCTATATGTTTTTAATATTATTCTTTAACCTATCCCAACCCCTTAACTATCTCAACCTAACACAAACTCATTCCCCTCTTTTTAGGCACAATTAAACAAATATAAGACATATGTCTATGCGACTCGTGTTCGATTCAATTTAATGCCAACTCAGTTGACATTATATCGCTGTTTATTTGCGGCTGTCGGTGATTTTCTCTTTCTTGTATTTTTTTTGTTTTCTCTGACTTTTTTTCGCCACTTGATTTGCATTGCGCTTCAAAATTTATTCACATCTGTGCGGCAGTTGAAAAAAAATCGCATAAATCATGCTAATCTATAACTATCGATCAAGAGACTGACAATAACAAAAACGACAGCCTTAGTCTGTCGGCGCCGCACAAAAGTGTCTTGGGAATTTATTGCCCGAGTCCTTGTATTTGCTAGCAGCAAGAAAAAAATACAATTTATATATATAGGAAAATCTCAGAAAATGTGCAGAATTTACATTTACAAAGTATTTATTCGTCTCTCCATCTCATGCAGTGCTATATATATTGCGTAAAAGCCAAAAAGTGCGCAATTATTCATGGGATCCAAGGGAGAGATCGGTGAAGGGAGATGAGTTGGATTTCGACCAGGTAGCCCGGATTTTCCCCCGTATTTTCCTCCCCGTTCAACCAGCTGTTTTCGGCTTTAATTCGATTTCTTTGTCTGGCTGCTGTTTCTGCCATAAATTGTCGCCGTCTAAACACATTTTTGGCCTTTTTGCCAATTTTCAGCTACACATCGTGTAAAAGTGCCCCTTCCTTCCCAAACCATTGCACTGTCGCCTTATCTGCACCTGTCGCTGCCTTTCAAATTGCACCAGGCTCTACGAGAAGATGGGGATGAGGTACATTTATAAAAATAAAATCCAACAACGGTCGAATTTATAATTAAATCGATGCCTGGGCAAAATCCAAAGCTGAATATCAGCTTTATTTTTTGGCTGTGTTGGGAATAAGGCTAAAGAGATAAATGACAGCTTTGCCAGTGCTCAACACGTGCTCGGGGACCCAGTTCCTCCTCACAGCTTCTGGCCAAGATCTCTCGAGTGGCACAAACCTCTCATCGCATCTTAACTTAAAACTCAAACTCAAAACAGAAACAACAACAACAACATCCGACACTATGGATTTGCGTGACAGCCTTTTCTGGCGCTGGCGTTGTGACTGCTGCTGGCTGGCTAATGTCGTTGAATAATAGTTTTTAATGGCTTGTTGACTGTTATTAAATAAATAAGCAGCTATTTAGTGTCGGGTAACTCTTTGCTTAATGCCGCTTTTATCTTGAGTAGTTTGACTGTGACTCTCATGAATCACACAGCACATGGCAAAAGAAGCTGCAGTTTGATGGCAAACAATAAACTTTTATTGACTTATCATCATTTTGGTTTTTTGGGAATAATGGAGAGCTTAAACCTGAGTTAAGTGGCATCTTTTTCACACTTCAAGAGGTGTCGAGTTAGAAATAATATCTTATAAAACGCTATAGCAACTATTACAATATATAAACCATTAAACTTCTTCCCCAGCAAGCAATTAAGTTTAAAATACATCTACATAAAAATATAAATTCTATAAAAAACATTGCAAATACCTAATGAAAACTATTAACACCTGATTGAAATTAATTTTTATTGAATATGCCAGTTTTTACTCTCTGTTAACAAAAGGGTTCCCCGCGGTTTGTTTATATGGGAAAAATGCTATCAAAACATTTCCCTTGATTAAAGCGCTCTTGGCCCAGATTTGCGGTAAATATATATTTTAATATTACATTTTTTATAGTTTGTCATCATTTTTATCCAACTGGTTAAACTCGTTAACTCCGCAGGCTATTTTGTCAACGATTTAACCCGATGCATATCCTACCTACACACCATACTATATACTATATATATCCATTTGCACATACATTATGTGTGTATTATGAAAACAATTTATAAATTGATATATTTTATTTGCCTTTTGCTTTTTATTACTCATATCTGGAAGCCATAATGATTGTTTAATAGCCGATGCCGATGCCTTACTTCGTCTCCTCCTTTTTATTGCCTTGTATATTTATATATCTACGAAAGTATAAACATATATTTCTCTGACTCTTTAATTTACCTTAAATTGCGATGGCATAATGCGTTACGTGGCGCTTATTTAATTTTAATTTGCATACAAAATGTACGCATTAATTTATAATTTTTGTACGTTATTGTTTGCTCCTACGGTCAGGTTGAGTTTTATTGTTTGTTTGCCCCATAGTCGCGCTCTCTGCTGCCTTTCCGATTTATTGATTTTTTTGTTGTGCGAATTGAAAAAGAGGTCTATAAATATTTAAGATGACAGAAGTCAATGGTGTGCACAAAAGCGTTCATATTTTAATAGACATTTGCACTCGATGTGAAGGAGGAGGAGGAAGAAGTCTGGATGTTGGAGGAGTCGGAAATGCGAGTTGAATAGCCCACTTTGAGGTCGGGTCGAATAGGGTCGATGTCACTGCGTTGGAGTGACTCTTAGGGATTGTTTTCAATCAGATATGTCTGTTCGGCTTTCAAAAGAAATTATCCCCTATCTCTGGCAGTGACACTTTTCAAGCACTATTAAAATAAAGGATATCCTCTTTTTTTGCACAGGAATCGAGAGCGTTAATCTAAGGAATTTTCAGTTTCAATGAGTTTCTGAGTTATGTTTTTAGATATAAGAGTTTCTATTGCACTCATTGGGTTTTCTGTTAAAATCCCCTCAATGGAAGTAAAAGCTATTTGATTTAATAAAATTATGGAACTTCTTGATTTACAAATCGTTTCTCTATGATTTTGTTGGCAGGAAATGCTCCTAAAATAAAATAAAGTACGATTCGGTGACTTACTGCCAAGGAAAATGTTGAGATTAATCTCTTTTGGCCAAGGATTCGGAGAGAAAATCTAAGGAACTTTCAGATTAACTGAGATTTATTGGTTTTTTGTTAATATTTCCTGAATGCAGCTTAAAACCTTTAATTCTATAAAAGTGTATAAATATATGATTAATAATTCGTTTCTATATAAACTTTTCCCAGAAAATGCTCTTAAAATTCCCAAGTACGAATTCAGCAAGATACTTTCAAGGAAGATGTTGAGATTAACCTCATTGTTTCAATGAAAATCTTAGCTCTTTGTAAAAAAAAAAAGAAACATTTTAAAGTCATATAATTGCAACCTAAATCTTATATGATTTTATAGTTTAACAAGAGTAAACTTGCATTTTAAAGTCTTATAAATGTATCTTAAACTCTTAATTGTTATAATATTTAATAGTTTTCATTTATGACTTACCTTTCCTTGCATAATCAGCCTTATTGTGAGTGTCACCGATGGATCCTCGTGTTTAATGGACGCACCGCCCGCACTGCTGCTCGTGTTATTGTCTTCCATGGTATCTATTTTGCTGCCTTTTGTGTTAACGCGGTTGAGATGAAAATGTATCTGGGATGTGACCGGGCTCAGAGAGAGAGTTCGGTCAGTATCTCAGGAGTATATATATATATATATCTCTCTCTCTAGTCACTTCTCTTCTGTCTTTTGAGTGTGTGTGAGTGGGTGTGGGGGTGTGTGTGTGTTTTTGGGGGGACACGGCACACCTTTGCTTTTGTTTATGTTGCGGTGATTTTGTAAATATTGATATATATATATCTCCTTTGCTATATATCAATCATAGAGGATCGATACATATACTATACATACATATATATATATAGAGAGAGATTTTGGCTATTAGTATTATTAGATCAAAACTAAATTGGTGGTGTCTTTTGCTAGTCGTACTACGTTTGTTGGCTTTAAGCTCGCTGCGTTCTTCTGGCCGCCTTTTTAAACTTTAGTGTGTTGTTTTCTTCTTCCCTTTTATATTATTTTATAAAATGCAACATATATAATATATATAATATTCCTCTTGTGTATTTATTTTGTATTTATCTTTTGCTGTGTCTTCAGAGCTTTCGCTTTATTGTTGAGCAAGAATACTGTTGCTTAGCTGATGTAGATGTAGATTTCTTGGGCTGCAATTAGAGAGATAGATATAGAAATAAATAATTACTATTGTGTGGAAGAACATAAATAAATTGTTTTTAAAGGAATTTCATTTGCCATTTCTGGCCAATAAATAACAAAATTAGCCGAATTAGTTTTATGCACAAAATGCCGGCAATGCATTTAATCACGTTCCCATACAGAGTTCACGACTTCCGGCACTTTTGGCACAACAACAACAATAATAGTGTGGGGGACACCAGACCAACCTCCTTCATCCATCATCCTATATACACATTTACATTCATATTCAACATTTTTTCTGGCAGAGAGTTGCAGTCCCCTGTCCTGGGCCTGTTTGTAATTTTGATATGAAATTTTTCCGCCTCCTTCCTTTCTTTCTTTTTTGATTTTGAACCTGCGCCAAGTTTTTCTGCATATTCCAAACGTACTGCGTATATATTTCTGTATATATAATATTGATGTACTCCTGTTGGGGCATTTCTTACGCTCGAAATCACTTCATGTGCAATTTAGTACAGATATACCCTGGTCTCCATCCATTCCCAGCCTCCTTTTTTTTTTTTTTTTTTAAGAAATTCCCAGCATAACTCGATGTATTCCGATGTTGTACATAGGCATATGTACGAGATATGTAATACAGCAGACATTCATTCCCGGGGGCCCACAAAAAAAAAAAATGAAAATGAAAATATTTGCGCAGCGACCGACCAACGCGATGACTGCGAAAAGCTTCCTGTCATTTCCCATTTTCCCCCAAGAGCTCAGCTCAGCTGAGAGCTCCATGGAGCTGGGTCCTCGCAGTCGACTTGCTTATGAAATTATGCGCACTAATTCCCCATGTAACGCTGGCTCAGCTCACCTAGACAGAAAAAGCCAGAGAGACCGCGAGGAATACAACTCCGGGAGCTTTTAGTAGAGATACTATCCTTCAAGCCCTCCCCTCCGAAAAAATGCGCATAATTTGTGAGAGTCTGCTGCACTTAGCATTTGACAGGATAACTACTATGGTGGGGAGAATAGAATTGAGAATAGAATAAATACATATGAAAGCTGGACAAACTATGGACATAACTAATTTAAATGTACGAAGAAACAACTAGAAAAAGTGATTATTAAAGGCAGCTAAAACTTGGGGATATCAATTACAAATTCAGAAAGTATTAAAACAGCTTCTTTGTACTACTCGTTAATAAAATAAAACTACAAACTTTTATTACTAATTTTTTATTACCACAATTTTAAGACTGCATTATTAAATATACCCCCATTTAATGACAATAAAAACCCACCAATAAAGGGTTCCATCAAGACTAAAATTTGTATTTAGATTCCAGGAAAATATTATAATATTTCATAAACCTTAAAAGGGAACTGTGATCTATTGTCAGGAGACCTGACTCTCATGCATAAATGTGGGATTTACATTTCCGCTGGAACCCTTTGAAGGATCTCTATCAGTTGTCCAACGAGCCCGTCCGCCCGCATCAAAGATGAAAGTAAATTAGAAATTACAATTCCAGCAGCTCTTATGAATCGTTGCCCCAACGCTTCCTTTACTCCATGGAGACCACTTTTGCCAGGCAATATGTAAATTGCACCTACAGGTATGACAATGGGAGACGTCCTGGGAAGACTGTCTGAGTGAGGTGGAGGTGATACCTGCTCCTGCTCCGTCTCCATCTCCATCTCCTCACACTGCCATTCCAACCGCCAAAGCCATGTTAATATCTATTGCTTGGCACGGGGGAACGCCCGCAGCGATGTCTTAAGGTGGCACACCGGGGAATACCACCGCAGACATAGTCGCAAGGAGAAGGTGCTGGAGCAGGAGCAGGAGCAGGAGCAGGAACTGAAGCCCAGCAGGAGCTGGCAGGACAACAATGACAGCAGCTCTGGCAGCTGTGGCCACAAACACAATGGAATGGTAAGGGAATGGAGATGGAAATGGGTATGGGGATGGGGATGGGATTCCAGGGGGGAATTGTGGCAGGATAGTGTCCAAGGCAAGTGCAATGAAATAATAAGTTCCGTTTGCAAGAAATGTGCATTCTTTGCATTGCCCAGACAGGATGAGCTTGGAGAAAAATGAAGATGTCTCGGCAGCTTCTTTCTTCGTCTCTCTCTCAACTCATTATCAATCATACGCACTGTGTGACGGACAAACTCTGGCTTCGACTCTGACTCCAACTTTATCCTTGGTTTTTAATGACTTTTTCTCAAGTGAAGATGGAGATGGAGTTGGAGTTTCGAGTGAATGAGGTACTAGCATAACTAGTTTTCTTTTAATTAACTCGACATATAAATGCCAATGTCTGTAATGGCAGAAAAACCAGTTTGCTTTCTAATTTTCTTTCTTTGCTTGGCTTTCCACACGCAGACAGCACAGCACAGTGTGTGTGTGTGTGCACAAAGATTTCTAATTTCCTGCAAGGCAGTGGATAGACAATGACACAAATCACAAAAGAATCTACACTCATCCTTTTTGCTGCTGTTTCTGTACTTTTTCCTTTGGCAACTTCATCAAAGTTGGCAAATGGGAGTTACCCCGAGTTACCCTGAACATCATCATACACTTTTTCTACTTCTCGTTTCCAAACTCATCTACATACTCACTAGGAGGAGTCACTCGTTTCAATCAAAATTTTTGTTGAAAATGGCAGAGCAACTTATGGTTTAATAAAAGGGAATACCAACCAACAACTGCAATCTACTTTGGGACAGGCAAGCCACCTTTTTGCCAACTTTTTCAATTCAATTTTGGTCACAGAAAAAAAAAACAAAATTGAGTAAAGAAATAAGGGAGAAAAAAACAAATATACAGACACAATAAATGCTAAATGCTGAACGTGACACACACATGCCTCAAAAGTGCTGTCATGTGCTCAGAGATGAGTTGGAGAAATGGAGAATCCCTTCCTTCTCCTCTTGCAGAGACGACTTTTGTTGACGCCGTTGACTTTATACGTCAATTTCATCGCTGTCGTGAGGAGTTTTCCGTTCCGTTTATGGCAGCCCAGGGAAAATGCGAAAAGAGAGGCTGACTTCTGGCTGGCAGGCGGCTCTGTGGCATGGGGCTCAAAACAAACATCAGTGGCAGACAGAGGAGGAGTCTCGGCCCCCTGTCTTTTCTAGTCACCAGCCTCAGTCTCGGCCTCGGCCTCAGTATCAGCCTCAGCCTCAGCTCTAGCTCCCATGTCAAGTTGTCGTCGGTTGGCAGCGTTGTTGTGGCAAAGTCAACCGCATCATCATCATCATCATCACCAGCCACCATCAGCATCATCACCATCCCTCTCCCTATCATCAGATGCCTTCAACAACATTTTTTTTACACAGCTTCACCTTGACTGCAGGTCGATTTTTTTCGCCTCTTTGAGGAATAATTTGTGCTCAGAGCTGAGGTTCTAGCCTTTTTCCAGAGACTTTTTTAGATATTATAAGGATTTTTAGTTAAAATGAACCCATAAACCTTTACATTCCCAAGTAATGTAGTCAAAAGATTGATTATTATGCCACAAAACGATAGGTTTCTGAGAGTTATAAGGAAATAAAGGGAAAATCATCATAGAACTTCCTAGTTCCAATGTAAATTTGCCACAAATATGATAGATTTCTAAAGGAATAATGGAGAAGAAATCAATGAGCTTCCTAGTTTCAAAAGTTGTTAAGATAAATAAGACTCCAAGCTTTATAAAAAGTATTCTTCAAACCTAAACAAGTTCATAAATGTCCCTGCTTTTAGCTTTTATAAAAGACTAAACACTTGACTGTATACAATCCCATGAGATATAGCTTACAGCCTTTGAAATATATCTGCGCATAACCGACAACTCCTTGATGTAGAATTAATTTTTAAAATTAATTATGCACATGTGCAGCTGCTTCTGTCCTAACAAGGGGGTTTTATGGTGAAGTTCGGTTCTCTGTGTGTATGTTGTGTGTCTCTGCAAAGGTAGAGTAGCCCGGGGGCTGCGACAGCAAAGAGAAAACTCATTAAATTGCATAATTATGTATACACACACGGCCTGCCCAGCCTTACAGCCTGCATCTGCCTTTGCCTTTGCCTGTTCCATACAAAAACTTGTGTCGTCTCTTGTAATAATATTAATATTAATAACGTAAAATACTCAAACACAACCTAGCGGGTCGAAAGTGGTCAAGGGTTTGCTCTCTGGACTGCTCAAGCTGTGGCTCCTTTTTGCGTTCAAGATGGGTCGGTCTCGTTGGTCTTGGGGGGTCCCTTGGCTGCACTTAATAACATTTCGGTCATGATTTCCGCTCCTCGTCAGGTCGTCATAATTTGATTTATGGTGCGGTTGATGCCACTCACAAACACACACACACTCTAAGAGAGCGAACTTTAAAAGATTTCTTCAAGGGTTTTCGGTTTCCACTCAAAGTCCTTGCCGCAGGCCCTGCTCAAACTCAAAGTTATGTTCCTGGCCATTCCCAGCAGCCGCAACTAAGTGTTGCAGAAATATTTAATTGGCCAAAAGAGAGAGAGTAAAATTATATAGCATACTTATGTGAA